TTCCTCTTCTTACTCTTTTCCGTCTATCTTGCTGATCCTCATCTTACCTCTCTGTCTCGGTCCTCCTCACATGGACGGCGAGGCGGATTGATCGGATCGGGGCAGATATTTAGCAATTTTTAAAAAATGACAGTCATTAAAATCGACAGCAGCCAAGATAGTTAAAGGTATTGCAGATGAGAACTTCCTGGCGGGGGGATGGGGGGGCGCGCGGGTCTCACCTCATCAAAAAGATCCCTGCCGCTGCTCTGCTGGGCTCTTCATATCGGCGCTGATCACATCTCTCTGCGCTCCCTCTCTTGTCTCCTCCTGGCCGCTCTGAAGCTGCAGCGACCGGGAGTAGAGAGAGAGGGAGCGCAGAGAGATCTGATCGCCACCGCGGTGACCGTCTTAAAGGGGCGACCTCCCAGTCGCATCTTTCCGCCCACAGCGGCGCCCTCAGGCAGATGCTTGACCTGCCTATATGGTAGCACCGGCCCTGCTTATATGGCAGCCACATGGACAGGAAGTAGGAGAAATCTGCCCAATGGGGTCATAGACAGAAATTCAAACATGGTAGAAATGTAAACGCCTATCTCGCTCTATCCAAAACTCAAAAAAAATTGTAATTATGCTTCAAGTTTAATCTGGTATCGTTGCCCCGCCCCTTTCGAGTTCCTATCTCCTTGCCCTAGCAGGGATCCTATGGAGCCACCAGTTCGCGCGTGCTCTCTGTGTTTGAACTACAGTCCAACACGAGGACGCTGCCCTGTTCCAACATGCACAGACAGCCTATGAGGAACTCACACTGAAGACACGCCCCCAAGGAGGAGCAGAGGCATGTGTTTTGTTCAATAAATGTGATGGTTGGCACAATGAATTGTGGGACATGTAGTCCTGGAGGGTGTTATCAGCAGCATACTGAGAGTGCACGCGCCACCTTCCAAAAACAGAGAAGCGGGGGAACAGATGATGCATCTGAAAAAATAATCAAATTTGAAGTGTTTTTGGATTTTGATCTAAAGGGTCATGTATTGCAGTGTGTTTGTGAAGAAATCAAGGAGGATTTAGATCTACTTCAAAGCACTTCCATTGGCAAAACCTTTTTTTGGGGGGAGTAGGAAGGGGCTAATCCATATCAGGCTGTTCACGGAGTAGAGCAAATGAGAGTTTTTATTTCCCCCAAAACTTCAACAAAATAAGGTGGTTGGTGGCGGTTTGAAAAGAGACAATGGGCTTTCTATGTCTGCTGAGTGTTACAGAGGCTCCTTTCAATTTTCCATCTGTGTCACATTGGAGAGATTTCCCTTCACAGAGTAGAGCAAATGAGAGTTTTTATTTCCCCCAAAACATCAACAAAATAAGGTGGTTGGTGGCGGTTTGAAAAGAGACAATGGGCTTTCTATGTCTGCTGAGTGTTACAGAGGCTCCTTTCACCTATCCTGGACCTGTTCTTGTGCCAAAAAAATGGTCCCTCCTTAGACTCATCAGGTAAAAGCAAAACAAAAACGACCGTACACAATCAAATATACACAAAAAGCAAAACAATCACAAAAATACAAAGAAACGAATGGAATAAACTAAGCTGCCCCAACTAAACACCCTCTACATCACTTGTGTCACACACGAGGCCCGCAGGCCGAATTCATATCACATGACCCTCGCACCTCTCCTGCAGCTGCGGCACCCCCCTCGTCTCCGCCCTCATCTTGTCTCAGCAGTCAGCAGCAGAGAGAAGGGCAGAACACTTTGGATATACTGACTAGGGATGCACCGATACTGGTATCTGTATTGATATATTTTTTTCTTCATTTTTAAACCAAAGCCAGCGCCTTCCTGTGAATGGTGGTGCCTGTTTACAGTGACAGCAGCAAATCTCCTCCTTCCTGTGGATCCACGCTGCCCGCACCCACCGAGAACGGCCAGGACCCCTGGTAAGACCGCACAGCCCTCCTAAGACCCCGCACAGCCCAGCATAGACTCCGCACAGTAGGGATACATGGATACCAGTATCGGTATCAGTGCCAATACTGGGTATTTTCACCAGTACCCGTATTTGGGAAAATGCCCCGAAGCTAAACACTGATATCGGTGTCTTACATTTTGAAACACAAACGGCTGCCGTAAGGTCCGCTACTTGCTGGGGACCTCATGGTAGCCTGCTGGGGACCTCCCGGCGGCTGTTTACGATACGGCCCGTACAGCCACAGTGAGACCTCGTCGCTTGCACAGCCCTGGTGAGAACCGGCTGCCCGCACAGCCATGTTAAGGCCCACAAACAGCTCTGGTTAGACCCGCACAGCCCTGGTGAAACCTGCACAGCCACGGTGAGATAACACGCAGCCCTGGTGAGACCGCACACATCCTCCTGAGACCCTGCACAGCCCTGGTCAGAATACCGCCACTGCTGAGATGTGTAGTCCTCTATAGCGAATGCCATGCTGCATTGCGGTATAATGTATTGCTGGGATTTTTACTCCTCTGTAGCTGGTGGTATTCTGCAGCTGTGACCAGGCCCTGGTGCTCCACCGCTGTCCTAAAGTCATTAGTCTGTATTGTATAGAAACAAATGTCACATGGTACTGAAATAAGGTATCGGTAATTGGTATCTGTGAGTACTTGAGGAAAAGTATTGGTACTCGTACTTGGTCTGGAAAAAATGGTACATCCCTACCACACAGGCCACCTGAGGCCTACCATAGACACCTCACAGCTCACCTGAGAGTCTGCACAGCCAAGCATAAACCCAGCACAACCACCTCAGAGCTCGCACACCCCACTATAGAACCTACACAGCCACCTGAGAGCCCACACAGCCCACCTTAAAACCTGCACAGCCACCTCAGAGCCCGCATAGCCCACCTGAGAGCCCCCACAGCCTTCCATAGAACCTGCACATCCACCTGAGAGTCTGCACAGCCCACCATAGAACCTGTACAGCCACCTGAGAGCCCATACAGCCCAACATAGACCCCACATAGCCCATCTGAGAGTCTGCACAGCCCACAATAAACCCTGCATAGCCCACCTGACAGTTTGCACAGCCCACCATAGAACCTGAACAGCCACCTGACAGCCCGCACAGCCCTCCATAGACCTCACATAGCCACCTGCAGCCCGCAATTAAATTGAGTTTGACACCCATGCTCTATATCATGGGTAGGTAAGCTCGGCACTCCAGCTATTGTGGAACTACAAGTCCCGAGAGGCTTTGCAAGACTCTAACAGCAACAGGCATGACTCCCAGAGGACAAGGCATGATGGGATTTGTAGTTTTAGCAAAGCTGGAGGGCCGAGGTTGCCCACCCCTGCTCTATTTAACCACCTGCTGTCTGGCCGTTGTTATTAAACGGCCGGACAGCGGATGGAATGCAGGTGGGCGTTTTTAAACGCCCCATCCCGCTCCGCTCTTGCCCGCCGCTAGGCGGGCACGATGGCTGTCTAGCGATGGCTGTTTACATACAAGCGTTCGGGAGTCTGTAGAGATCGCTTGTAATATGCGTGCGGCCCCCCCTCAGTTGCCGCCGCCGCTGCTGTCGATCCCGAGCTCCGCTGTGCCCGGTGCGAGCCCGGGACCAGCACAGCAGCTCTGCGGCCGGAGATCAAACAGAGCTCAGTACACGAACTCCGTTTGATCTCCTTTTCAGAATGCAGGCAGTGATGTGTATTACATCACTTCCGCATTCCTCTATCACTCTCCGGTACAGAAACCGGAGATAAGCTGATGAAGCAGATCTGTGCTTCATCAGCTTCTCTGGGGGTCCCTAGGTGACATTAGGGGTCTTAAAGACCCCTGATGTCTCCATAAAGAGGACCTGACACTGAAAATTGGCTATCATAAAAAGGGGCTTGTTAGTCCCCTATGTGATAGCAATAAAGTTAAGTGGAAAAAAAAAAAGGTTTAAAAGAATTAGTTTAAAAAAAATATTAAAAAATGAAGTCACATATAAAGGTAATAAAAAAAATGTAAAAAATTTATTTAAGTCCCCTGCCCCCCACATACACATGCAAACATGCGTTGAGTGCGCCTACGTGCGGGAAAAGACGATTGCATCCATTACGCCACACATGTTACATATCGCCGCGAACGTCGCAGTGAGAGCAAAAATTCTAGGCCCATCAATCACTGATAACACTAAACTGATGAGCGGTAAAAGCTTTTAAAGTGTCACCTATGGACAATTTTGGGTATGGTAGTTTTTGCGAGTTCGCGGGCGCACGCAATTTTAAAGCTTGACATGTTTGGTGTCTATTTACCCGACGTGACCCCGTCTTTTATATTTTGCCAAGAATGTGGGTAATAATAATCTTTTTTAACATATCGTAGTGAAAACAGTTTTTTTCCCCAAAATTTTCGGTACTTTTTTCATTATATACTAAAAAATAAAAAAAAAACCCCAGTGGTGATTAAATACCACCAAAAGAAAGTTCTATCTGTCCCCCAAAAATGGTATAAAATTTCCATTGCATGGCGGAATAAATGTCAGTCAAAGTACCACAGCACTGAATACAGAAAAATACAGAAAAATGGCCTGGACGGGAAGGGGTGTAACACCGCGGCCAGCAAGCGGTTAAAGACAATAATAGTAAACAAGTATTTTTTTTTTTTCAAGCAAATTTCGTCAAAGCAGATCAGTGAACACAATTGAGAGTTTCCACTCTGGTCATTCCGCTGCAATCCCTCCGCTCATCTCTACTCTACGAGGGTTACAAGGCACAATCTCGCCCCCCGTTTGGGAAATCAGATCATATAGCCATCTTCCTTATGCCAAAATACAAACAAAGGCTCAAACAGGAAGTTCCGGCTCAGAGGAAGGTTGCACGCTGGACGGACCAATTGGAGGCCGCTCTGCAGGACGCACTCGACGCAGACTGGGACATGTTCAGATGCAGCTCTGATGACATCGACGTGTTTACGGAAGCGGTTGTGGAGTAAGCATTTCACTGCATATCATACTTGTACGATTGTGTATGTGACAAATAAATCTATCTATCTATCTATCTATCTACTTGCAGTTGACCGCCACCACCCGCGCAACGGACCCGGCCACGTTTTTCAAGATAAAGGAAAAATCGTACGGCTGAATATCCCGAGGGCCGATAACAGCAGGAAACAAAGAATCGCCTGCGGTGAGAACTTTGAGAAAAGATAATGAATGGATACTCTGTGTGTACATTGTGGCAGCGAGGGGTTGGCTGTGTCTCCATTTTTGGATTGGGTGTCACCTCTGTGTCCCGTGATAAACAGTCATTGTTGGCGCCCGTGTAAACCCGGCTTCACAATTCCACATGTGTGTTTACTTTCCGTGTCACCCGTCTGATGGCTTTCAGGGCTTTGTATGTTCCAGGGACAACCCTGGGGGACAGAGGCAACGAAGATCCTACGGGCCGTGTACATCCCCTGAACACGGGGCTGCTTATTTCTCATATTAAAACCTTGACGCCCCGTTCTACTAATCCTTATAGGACATCTCCACCCGTAACTGACAGTTAAGTGATTGATAAATCCAGGTTTTTTAAACCATCAACTACAAATCCCAACATGCCTCTGCCACTGGGACTCATGCCTGTAACTGTCAGTCTTGCAATGCCTCATGGGACTTGTAGTTCCACAACAGCTGGAGGGCCGGCTTTGCCCACCCCAATCCTGTATGATGTCTTTGCTGGTGAGATCTCTACACTGATTTCCCGAGTCTGTGGCTATTACCGGGATCCTCCACTGTCTCTGATGGATTTTTACATTTATTTTATGGTGGACGCAGTGGGAGGAGCCAGAATACCCTGAGAGGGGATTTTTCCACCTAAAGGTTTCCAGAATCTCACAAAGTCATCGTCAAAATCTTTTCAGGAAAAATGCAAATCAGTATCAATCACTCTTATAAGGGGGAAGGGTCCTGGGCCGCAGAAAGTCATTTATCTGATATCTCATATTTAATGGGCTGGAGGAAAAAAAAGAAAAAAGCTTTAAAGAGAACCTGTCTTTTGTTGCCTTTTAAATGACGTTTGATTAATTTTTATAAAGAAAACTTGTATTTTGCCCACTTGGGGTAAACTCAGCTCTCGCTGCATAGCCGCCACCCCGGACTTTGGATTAAAGCTGGCCACACACTGGCAGGATTTTGAACAATGTGTGGCCCTGTCAGCACCTCTTTGCTTAACAAAAGTCGATCTTTCAATTGACTTTTGTTGAAGAAAGCGATATGAAAATTCTCGACAGTCATTGTGCAGGTGTTCTAAATGCCATGTACCCGCTGTTGTCAGAATACAATAGCATGGAGGTGTATGGCCAGCTTTACATCCCCCTGCTAGGGTTGCCACCTGTCCAGGATTCACCCGGACAGTCCGGTTTTTGAGTCTTGTGTCCAGGTTTCAAGACAACTGGACATAGGACACTAGGTGCCGCCAACGGCACTTTAAATTTTTGACAGATGCAGGCTGCTGAGGTCCCCAGCAAGTGCAGGTCCTCAGGTGCGTGTAAACAGGTACCGGCCTGCACATCTCCTCCTACGGCTCCTTCCTGCCAGCACACTGCCTGGCTCCGGACCCCAGATGAGACCCCTGCACTTCCCGCACAGCACTCCTGAAAGCCTGCATAGCCCACATGAGACCTCACACACCCTGGTGAGAGCCCACACAGGCCACCTGAGACCCTGAAGACATCAGGACGCCACCCGGGACAACCCAGAGAATGTAGCTTCATATTATTTTGTATTGCTGTGTATGAATTGCTGGGATTTGTAGTCCTCTATAGCCGGTCTCCTGGTTTTCTCTCCTTGCTTACTCTTATATTCTTCAAAACAAAAAATGGCGCATGCAGTGCTAGAGTGTTCAGGTTTCACGTGAAGAAAAGGTGGCAGCCCTACCACCTGGTCTGCTATGCTGCTACTGCGTTCACCCACCTGAGCCCCAAGAATGACCCGGAACTTTTACCAGGAATGGGGAGCGCGTCACTCTATACCCTACCTCTCGAACTGCAGCACTCCATGTCTAAGCAGCCAATTGCCAGGCCGGAGGGCTGTCACATGCAGCTGAGGAAGGTCTCTGGACCCTGAGTGCAATCTGGCTGAGACCTGTCCCAGAACAAAAAATTGTGTGCCGGTAAGTGTAAGGGCTTGTTCACACCAAGGCGATTGCATTCTTTCACGCTTTTTTCTGCACTCACCATGTGGAAATCACGCGGTTCCCTCTGCATAGAAGTGTCTATGGGACTAAAACCGTGCAAAAACTGCCCAAAAATACAGGTGAAACTCGAATAATTAGAATATCACGCAAAGTTCATTTATTTCACTAATGCAACTTAAAAGGTGAAACTAATATACGAGATAGACTCATTACATGCAAAGCAAGATAATTCAAGCCGTGATTTGTCATCATTGTGATGATTATGGCTTACAGCTCATGAAAACCCCAAGAACCCCAAATCCACAACCTCAGAAAAGTAGATTATTACATGCAATCAATAAAACAAGGATTGTACATAGAACAATATCGGACCTCTGAAAAGTATAAGCATGCATATGTACTCAGTACTTGGTTTGGGCCCCTTTGGCAGCACTTACTGCAATTACTTTTGCACGATATTCTAATTATTCGAGTTTCACCTGTAGCTCCTGCACCTTTTTGCGTGACAGGTGATTTTCCCCTCGCGACGCAACGCAAAGGTGTGGACAGCCTCCATTGATTCACGCATCGCCTAGATGTGAACCAGTCCTAACTCGACTGTTAAGTGACCTTCTGGCTTTGCCCAGACAGGTCCACTTTATAAAGACTTATCAAAGGATTATAGAGAATTTGTGGTGTTTGTGCATACCCTTCCATCCTTACTTCCTTCCTTTTTCTTCTCCTTTCTTTCTTTCTACGAATATTTTTTCATCTGAAATATTGGATGTAAACTCTTCCTTTGTATACCTCTAGGAAGAAGATGAAGCACTCTGCTTTTTTATGTTGCCCTGTCTATCCTGTTAAAATCCAAATGGTTACAGAGCTCAATAGCTCATTTGGAAATGTATCTGCACAAGTGAAAAAGTCAGAGCAGGGACCACTTCACCATCCTCTTCCTCTTGGGGGCTCCATCTCCATCTGTCACTCCTGACCACTGGCATTGTTTCTGGTGCATTGAACCTGTTGCTCCTGGCTATTGGCATTGGTCGTGGTATGCTCCACCTTTCACTCCCGGCCGCTGTTATTGTTCGTGATTTGTTCCACCTGTAACTCTTGGCCACTGGCATTGTTCCTGGTGCATTCCTTCTGTCGCTCCTAACGTCTGACATTGTTCCTGGTGCGCGCCACCTGTCACTTCTGGCCGCTGGCATTGTTCCTGGTGCATTCCCTCTGTCGCTCCTAACGGCTGACATTGTTCCTAGTGCACTCCTCCTGTCACTTCTGGCTGCTGGCAATCCATCTCCCACTACTGGCACTGCTCCGGATTTGCTCTCTGTTGTCAACTCTGCTCCCCCAAGCCCTTGCTGCAGGAAACAACTAATTCTGGTACACTCCATCTGCCAAATCCTCCAAAATCTTGGTACAGCTACTCCTGGTACATTCACGTTGTCAAAATAACCTCCTCCATGCTCCTGCGGCTGGGCACAGCTACTTGTGCTACACTCCATTTGTCAAGCTCTGCTTGCCATCATAGCACATTTAAACACCTCTCTTTGGTGCTCCTGCCAGTTACTCTGTTTCCTCAATAGTCTCCTGACCATTTCCACCAGTGCTCCGATCAGATCTTGCTGCTACAGGTGAAACTCGAATAATTAGAATATCGTGCAAAAGTAATTGCAGTAAGTGCTGCAAAAGGGGCCCAAACCAAGTACTGAGTACATATGCATGCTTGTACTTTTCAGAGGTCCGATATTGTTCTATGTACAATCCTTGTTTTATTGATTGCATGTAATAATCTACTTTTCTGAGATTGTGGATCTGGGTTTTCATGAGCTGTAAGCCATAATCATCACAATGATGACAAATCACGGCTTGAATTATCTTGCTTTGCATGTAATGAGTCTATCTCATATATTAGTTTCACCTTTTAAGTTGCATTAGTGAAATAAATGAACTTTGAACGATATTCTAATTATTCGAGTTTCACCTGTATATCTGCCAGTATGTGGGGATGTGAAGGTGTTCCTGGTGAAATCTCCCCGTCCCTTAGACTCCGCTCCATGTTGAGCCCAGTGGTAGTCAGGTTAGTGTCCAGTTTGCTCAGTTTCACTCGGTTCATGACAAACATCCCTAAAAGCAGATGTAAAGAGGAAATCAAAATTATTTCCTGGACTATTAATGATCTCCATTTACATGTTTCAGGGACATGCACCTTCTGGCCACATGGAACATGGAAGTGGAGTTACTTGGTAATCCAGGATACCACTTCTGTCTCTGCTTTAGGCTAGGTTCACACCTAGGGGACACCTCACCGCGCGGCAATCATGCACGATTCCGCGTGGTCAGGAGTCGCCAAGCTGTGAACCGATCCCGGGGGATCTGTTGGTTTTCCCGCCCCTGTTCCGCCCGTGCTTCCGAACACGAAAAAAAAAGCAGCGCGTCGTGTATCGCAAAAAGAAGGTACTTGTACCTTTTTTCTGCGATTGCGTGCGGATGTCACCCCATTGAAATCAATGGAGCCATCCGGCAATCGCTGCCTGCATTGTGCAGGGACACGCGCCCCAGGTGCAGGTGTGAACCTAGCCTTAAATCTGCTTTTGGGGATGTGTTTGTGGTGCCTTTCTCCTTGGTTCTTGTAGTGTCTACTTCAGAGGTTTCCATGCTTGCTGACATATGTCCTCCTGCTGGCTGTCTAGAGTTGGTGTGACCTGTTATCCCATAGTAGAGGTTCTCTCTGATTTCTTGCCCTGATTAAGTGCAATTTTAGTGTATTTACCTGCACTATCCACTGCGCTCTTTTTGGGTTTTCCCTTTCATGTCTATATGGCCTTTGGATATATACAGAGTTTGCAAGGATAAGCGGATTTGCCTTGGTAACAAGCAAGCGCGGGAGCCGCTTGTTTAAAATTTTAGACTGTCAAGAACCCTGACCC